ATTACTAGATGTAGATCTAATGAGACCTGTGTACTTAACAGGTTTGGGTCGATAGGGCCAAACCTTGATCTAAGTACAGCTAGCCACTTCGTATGACCTATTTGTAGTGCAAACGCCATCAAACTTTTACTGAAACTGAAACTTTAGACAGGCTGGTTAGACCAAACTAAGGTCTAATCCTGTTATATTGTACTGCTGACCTTGTGACGAGCATGAAGTTGGCGATATAGTGGGGCTGGTGGTAAAACAGGATTTTCCAATGTCAAGGGAAATGTTTCTGCCAGGACTAGATGAAAACGTAGTACAGTCGAGCAGGCACGTAGCGAAACGTACTCATAGTGAACCGATTTTCACACCCCCAGGGCAGTGCTACTGACTGAAGTGTCTTTAGGCCATTCCCAAAGGGTCACCACATTATCATGTTCTGTAGCACAGTAGAATTTTAATTGTAAATGGGCTGATTCATCAAGTCATGCTCATAACTGTACCGGAATTGCAACAGGGAACTGCTGTTTTTTCTTTCCTCATCCTTACTATCATCATTTTTCCTCTACTTCTTTTGTATGTTTGTCACACTCTTGTGACCCGCTATTTTGGGGGTGCCTTGATAGTTGAAGCAGACTTTGTGCTGTTGAAGCTAGAGAGGTGAGCAGAGTAAGTCTGATTCCTTGTAAGGACTTCAATCTCAGTTGACATCGACCCCTTGGCGCTCATTTGACCTTATGCAGTTGCGAACGCCGAAAAACCCCTACTAAAACAAACAAACCGTCAAATAATGTTTTCTTTTATACATGTTTATCCCTTGTATTTTAAACATTTACATGATGAAATTCCTATATATAACAAAAATATTTCAGCGTCCCATGTGCTTGTCTTATAAGTCTCTCCTCCTTTCTTCTTTCCATGTCACTCTCTAGTAACACCTCTATCTAATCTTAGGCACTTAAAAGACCTATTTGTGTTGCAAATGCTGTAAAACTCTAACTGAAACTAAAACTTTCGACAGGCTGGTTAGACCAAACTAAGGTCTAACCCTGATATAGTGTACTGCTGACCATGTAACGAGCATGAAGTTGGCGATATAGTGGGGCTGGTGGTAAAACAGGATTTTCCAATGTCAAGGGAAATGATTCTGCCGTGACTAGATGAAAGACGCAATACAGTCGAGCAGGCACATAGCAAAACATGCACATAGTGAACTGATTTTCAGATCCTGGATTTTTTCTTATGCATGCATATTCTTTGTATTTTAAATATATATCTAGTGAAATGTGTACATAACGGAAAGATTTCAGCGTCTCACTTATTTCGTTACATGCATGCAAGGCTGTACAAAGTGGTTGATAGGCCCTACTGTATAACAATGAGTTATTTCCCTTCATCCAACACTTGATGGGATGACCTTAAGGGTTTCCTGAATGTGATGATCACTCGCCGCTTGCACAGTCGTGTGTGAGTGAAAGGGATCCAATGAGTTATCACTGTGCAGCTGCCTAGTATGCTGTGTGTAATGTGTAATGTAGACCTCTGGTGGCCAGTTCACAATGGATGTTGTAGGGCAAATTTTCATTACTTTAATAAATTTTTTCAATTATTTTGTAAAATTGTAGGTGTTTTTAAGCCCCCATCAACACCGTGTAGATTATTTAGGAGGCGGGCTTCTGACTGTGCCTGTCAGTGCCAACCTGGGCTGAGAGGGAGTTGTACAACAGACGGTGTCTAACTTACCTTGGAAGTGTCTTGTGTAGTATTTGAGGAATGGAGGAATGTCAAATACATCCACGGATAGTTGTGCCACTGTATTTCTCTCAGACCTCATTCGTTAGGTTGAGAAAAAATTGACCTATTGCCCTTTGTACACAATTTATCGTTGACCGCCAACTTTTTAGATGTAGACCTACAAAGCCCAAAGTTTTGAATTTTTTAAAAATTACAATTTCTCTACTCCCTTCCATTCTTGGTTTTACTAACTTTTTTTTTCCCTACATTATACACTTATAGTTATATGACCTAATTGTGTTGATAGTGCTGCAAAACTAGTACTAAAAACAAGCAAAATCTCACTCTCAGATGCGGGTTTAGGGTTTTCAGGCTCAGCTCGGTCCGACGTTGTGTCCTTGGGAAAGGACCTTTACATGAAATTCCCATTTAACTCGGTCCTTTCGGAGATGGACGTTACACTCGGAGGTCATACCGCCTCTTATGACCTAATACTGTTGATAGGGGCTTACACCTATACCATTGTGGGTGGTTGACGGGTGCTCAGGTGTGGTTTGCTTCTTCTTTCCTCTCAAACATCTATTGTCTTCATCTACCCTGCTTCTTTTTTGTGTTTGTTACTCTCTTGTAACACCTCTTCTTCTTCTCGATCGCATCCCACTTGAAGTCTGATATCTGTCATATATTGGGCCATCCTGCTCAGTTCATCTGTCGGCCCGTATAGCTTCTCTTGCAGCGTCAGTGGGGTTGGCCACGTTTCCTGTCTCAGGGTCATAATACCTCTAATCTTCGGCACTTATATGACTGTATTGTGTTGCGAGTGCCGTAAAACTTACTAAAAACTAAAAACCTGTACCATTTCCATTTCCCCGACTCCGCAGAATCTCCCAGAAACTGCCGGTCCTGTCGGAGAAAGAACGGCTAGAACAGCTGGAGCTGGATGTGAAGTGTCTCATGTTGTTGAGGGGACTTATACACAACGAGATCGTCAAACTGCCGGAGGACTGGGAGACCGACCTCAAGAGCAACAAGAAGTGAGACTTGTTTGTGGGAACGTTGTCTGATCATTTATTTATCTGATCATTTATTTACCTCTTTGTCTGATTGTTTATTTATCTGTTTGTGGGACCATTTGTCTGTTTGTCTGATCATTTGTCTCTTTGTCTGATCATTTATTTATCTGATCGTTTATTTATCTGTTTTTCTGATCGTTTATTTATCTGTTTGTTTGATCATTTATCTGTCTGATCATTTGTCTGTTTATCTGATCCTATATGTTTTATTTGTTTGTCTGATAATTTATTTATCTGTTTGACTGATCATGTATTTATCTGTCTGTGTGATCATTTATCTGTTGATCATTTATATGTTTGTCTGAGAGACTTTATTCTCTTCTCTCAGATCACTCATCAGATCTCATTTTATTCCATCGCATGTCAACTCATCATATTTTATAGAAGCTTTTATTTTATTCCACTCTCAGCTGATAGCAAAATGTCAACAAAATGGCTGCACTATTAACCTGCTTTTCTAAATTATAAGACATTGAATTATTTACCAAATTACAGGAGGCGGGATGAGTGGGTGGGGGTGGGGGGTGTAGCAAAAAATATTAGGAGTGTATCCAATTATAATTTTAGGTTGTTTTTT